TATCGTGCTGACGGACACATATATATATAAATATATAAATATATAAATATATAAATATATAAATATATATATATATATATGAATTTGAACGGATGGTGTTTTTGGCCTCTAGGGACCTCAAAACGAAAAAAAAAATCGGTCCCGCGTCCAGGTCTTACCATGAGTACTACGGTAATAGCTTATTCCCTATATGGGAAATTCGCTAAAACTGTGTCGATGGTAGCTATCGATAGTGTAATTTTTGCACTGATGCTGTTTGAGGTATTGTAATTTACTTTCCACTACTACAATCGTGACATACCAACTAGTTGAGTATATCGGTAACGGATGTTAGTTTACTATAGAAAAAGAAAATGCAAGAAAATGCAAGAAAATGCAAGATCCATTTTGGGATCTCACTTGCCCAATTAAACAACTTACAACATTTACTTTCTATGAATTAGTTAGCGTAAATAATAATGCAAAATAATAAAAAATATAGTTTTCCTACAGTCACCTAACAATGTACTTGTTCTCTCACTGATTTGAGAAAGCAAAGTGGCCAATTCGCTCATCAGTGAGACAATGTTAACATTGTCTCACTCTAATTACTTTGTCTCACTCCATATTTGCAACGTGAAGGCACGAAATAGTGAGCGCGTAACATGCAGGCAACGTCGTATGCGCGCGAAATACGTTGGCAGCACTGGCTGTAAATCAGCTGGTCAGCTGTTGTACTGTTGTATTTGTCACTTTACATTAAAATTTAATGTTATATTAAAAGTTCACTTCTGTGTAAAAATAGGTTATGTTTCTTTACCAATTTATTTGTTTTATGGTAGGCCCTAACTGTAGGAAAAGTATAATGTGCAACTCGAGTTCAAAGTACAATTGCCTCACTCGAGAAACCATTCCTCACTCGCCTACGGCTCGTGAGTAAGGATTTCTCTCGAGTGAGTCAATTGCTCACTTTTCTCACTAGTTGCACAAATAACTATTATTGCACGGGTCAAAATGTCTTTTAAGTTTACAATAGAGTCACTTTAGCCCTGCCTATAAAACATGGTACTCTGAACCATCAACGCAGCTAAAGAGAAATAGTTTATAATAATTATAATCAAAGGAATGCATAAGAAATAAGACTAAATATTTCTTTACTGTACGATTTGAATTTGTATGACACGACCATATTACCCAAGAATTACATAACGATGAATAGTTTTCATTTAAGTATATTATTCTCAAATTTGGATTACAAACTCTCGCTTCTGTCTGGGAAAGTTGCGTCACACAAACCTTACTGTTACTGTGGCTATTAAACCGCTTAAATACATACAAATACGCTAATGGACGCCTTTCTATTCTCTTCTCTCGCGCTATCACGCTCCCTTTCAATGGGTTTTAAATACAATTCAATTTTTAAATAATTCTAAAATGTTGTATATTTTTGTTTGATTCACTATGGTGTAGTCCTAAATGTTTTTTCGTTAACATTTCGAAAACGTTATGGAGTTTATTTTGTAAACCTTTTGAATGAGACAAACCAAAAATACCGCGTAAAACACATTGGTATGGTTACTTTGTAACCATACCAATGTGAATCATGGGTGTGAAAAATTTATAAAAGTTTAGAGAGAATAATCAACGATGAGTGTGTTTCTTTTTAAATTGTTGAAAGAAATGCATTATTCTCTCTAAACTTTTATAAATTTGTCTATGTTATGAAAATTTAGAATAAGGTAAATCTTGCCAACACAAAATAAAATTTTAATTTGCTTTAATTTTAAACATTTTAAAATTATTACAAAAATAAACCTATCCAGTGCATCAAAAACGTTTAAAATATGATAAATGCACAAAAAAAGTATACGTCGAAGGAAAATATTAGTCAAATCAAAAGAGTCAGTGGTAGTTTAGTATGTAGCGTAAGAAATGTCTCACAGGTTACAAACCTACACTGGCTGAAAGCCTGTACGTAGGCACAGTATTAAGGCATAGGCCAGTGACTTCCTTACTTTAGATCAATGATAAAAATAAAATTAAGTATACAAATCTTTATAAGTAGCAAGAACCTTTTCCCACCAACCAAAATTTTCTTGATTTTGTTTAACAAGTTTATGCAGAGTTTATTCATTGACAATACAACTGTAGGAGGGTTTAAGTCAACTTTATTAGTTTACCTCTTGTACGATAGTATTTAATATAAAACTATTACCTATTTTTAAAACATATTAACACTTGCAAGACGAACTAAAAGGGGTTAACTTGGAGCACATGTTATTTTACTCATTCAAAATACCACTTACTGATCAATAAAACTATACACAACAACCAGGCCAGATCTAAAACTCAAACTCATCACTTTGATTGTACGTAAAGGAGAATTGCATTTCGTTGGGCGCATAAATCTAAAACGTGCCCTTGTAAACAATTCTACGAGTCTTTGTTAAATGGGATTAGAGTCTTTGTTCTTAGCTTTGTCTCGCTTAAATTGCCCAGCACAATGCTCGGCCGGGTTTAAATACCGCGGTTAATGTTAAATTACTAGATTGCTGAAATTGTCGGAAACTGTAATCTTATAACCGGATAAAGGATAGAAATTAGTAGTTTAATTAGCTGCATTATATTCAAATTTTCCAACAAATGCGTGAGTATTAATTACTTACAATGCTCTGTTTAATACGTTACAATACAGCGTATGTACATCACCCTTACACGTAAGCCTACGTTACAATACAACGTACGTACGTCACACGTACACGTAGGCCTACGTTACGTGGTAATACAACGATCAATTATGAAGGTTAATCGGCTACATCAAATTATAGAAATACTCTATAAGACTCGCAGTAGTAAATACTACAATACATAATTTAAAAAAATTATATATCGCTGTGTGTAAAAATAAGTATTGTAGTTGGTTTTATAAAACGGGTTTAAGTATCTCTTGATACATTAAATTCGTTCATGAAAAAATTTGGAAATATTTTTAATATGGGTTGAAATGATTATAACAATAATTATTATATTGTTTGAATGTTATCGTGAGGCAGACGAAAATATAAATAAGCTATTAATTGTTTGTAGTAATTAGAACAATATTAGGGTTCACTGATAATTCCAATAAATGTTCACATTAAGCTTTCATGTTCGCCAGATAATCGGTACCACACTGTAAAGCTTTTTTCATAAATTCAGTATCCCATAGTATTGTCTTGCCACAAATTTTACTACGATATCTCAAAAAACCACATTGAGCTTTAAGGGTGGTATATTGTAAATATTCAATATGCAATTTATAGACAACTTTGGGTATAGTTACTCCTTCTTTCTTCTGTAACTTGAGTCATGTGTTTATTAATATTTTCTACTGCCTTGATCTATTTGGAATAAAAACCTGACCGGATACACTTATATACTGTAGGCCTACTAGAGAAACAGCAAACATGTTACGTGATTTAGCAAAAAAAAACTCGAAAAACGCTTTAGTTTTATCCTATATTGTACAACCAATTATGTTTCATTATTTTGTCATTTCGCTACTGGAGTGCCACAAAATATCCATTACATGTCTCAGACGCCATTTACATTTATAGAGCCCGGAGCTCTGTATAGCTCTGTACAATGTGCATTCGTCATAAAATGTATTTTACAGCTCTTCTACTGAGATGCTCTAGAACTCTTTAATCAAAAGCATCATCTGGATAAAAGTTTATCTATTATTGTATTTGTTTGCCCTTACTGCTGAAAACGTTGTTAAAAATTTAGAATATATTTTTTTCAATTTTTTTAATATTGAATGTTTAATTTTATTACACTACTAGCTGACCCGGCGAACTTCGTATCGCCTAAGTTATAGGTTTCCCCTAAGACAGACCGATGGAAAGAAAGTACCGTTACGTTTAATTTTCAAGATGATCTCGTTCGCATCGCTCAATCACGTCCTGGTTGAAGTTCGTTCGCTACGCTCACTCACCTTTAGGTTGGAGCTCGTTCGCTACGCTCACTCACCTTTAGGTTGGAGCTCGTTCGCTGCGCTCACTCACCTTTTGGTTGCAAATTAGCTGTTGTCATAAATGTTAAAGAAATAATAGTGCTGCACCCTGTTGGTAATCCTTGTAACTTTAATGCTATTGAACATCATAGAACAGAACCAACTTGTTTAATTGAAACAGCTGTTAAGATTCATTAATTCCATTTCTCATAAGGTTAACATGGGAAACTCCAGAGCCACTGACTGGGGCGGAGCCCTTTTAAGAATTTCGAAACGGGAAATAGTTTACGTCCGATTCGCATACCTACAGAATTTACACACCAAATTTCATAACGATCGGTGAAGTCGTTCCGGAGGAGTTTGCAGACAAACACTGTGACACGAGAATTTTATATATTAGATTATATAAAAACACGCGTTCACATTCCCAAACTTACACTCTACATTCCCTATAAAGCATACAATGACCACAAATACATCTTTGGTAGTCCTAGATGAAATGCTAGGAAATTACTTTTAACTATTAATACCAATTTGTTTGATCCAAATATATGAACATACAACCTTTAACAGCTTTTGGAGGAAATTTCGATGATGCCCTAACTGCTATTTATTTGAAAATACGGATTATTTGCTTTGGCTATATGAGTTTCAGACGGTTAGTTCGTAATAGACGAAAAATTGGAATGTATACTGCTACTCAAGTTTCCAGATGTATAGTATCCGTAATTATCCTGAGTTCAAAAGCAGCTAGGTGTAGTCATTTTGTTTGTTTTTTAATTTGTGTTCAACAAGTTAATACTGAGTGAATTCCTAGATCATTAAGAGACGTTGAGTTGGTACTTAAAAAATTTCTAGGTTCAATGATATGTGTGTCCATCCAATGTTAAATTTTCTAGAATTACTTATTAAATGAACTTATTATCGTTAACCCAGAGTAATTAGTGTAACTTTCGTAATAAAATGCATTTAGCTATAGTAAGGTTAAGTACAGTTTACATTTGCATCATTAAATATATGTTTGCAGGTGTTCATCAAGTCCGAGCTCAAGGTAGGCGTGTTGTATGTAAAGGAAGGGCAATACACCGAGGAAGAAATACTGGACAACAATGAGAATAGTTCACTTTTCAACGAGTTTTTGCAAATCCTAGGCGAGAGAGTGAGATTAAAAGGTAAGTCTACAGAACCTACATACCCTCCTTTGTTTGAAGTTCATTGTTGGTGATGGTGAGTTAATGTTGTTCAAAGGTTTATTCCGGACATTTTCCATCACGAATGTAAAAAACAATACACAACGTTTCGGGATCTGGAATCTGATCCCGTCTTCAGGTGAAAAAACTTAACTAACACATTACAACTAACAATACACAAACGCCCAACCTAAGTTGGAATACACTACAGAGGGTAGTAGTCAAAAAATATGCACTGTATAGCAGTCAAGTCATGATACAACATGCAATTAATAAAAAATCACAAAACACTATAATCTATAAAAGGTTTAACGTAAAAAAACTCACACAATGGAACACTTAAAGCACCGTACGCTATGACTCCACCAATGAGACTCACATATATTTAACACATATTTAATGTCAGTCTCATTGGTGGAGTCATAGCGTACGGTGCTTTTAGTGTTCCATTGTGTGAGTTTTTTACGTTAAACCTTTTATAGATTATAGTGTTTTGTGATTTGTTATTTGTTATTAATTGCATGTTGTATCATGACTTGACTGCTTTACAGTGAATATTTTTTGACTACTACCCTCTGTAGTGTATTCCAACTTAGGTTGGGCGTTTGTGTATTGTTAGTTGTAATGTGTTAGTTAAGTTTTTTCACCTGAAGACGGGATCAGATTCCAGATCCCGAAACGTTGTGTATTGTTTTTTACATTCGTGATGGAAAATGTCTGCAATAAACCTTTGAACAACACTACATACCCTTGTTTAACATTTATTTTGCTAGTGTGTTATAGTTAAAGTAATTCTGGTTTATTTAGTGAGATCAATTTTGTATTTTAAGGAAAGTATAAAATTGATTATATGTTGCTCAGATCTGAAAATAGTCATATGATTTCTAGTATGAAGCTAGTTGATGTTGAAAATTATAAAACATGATGTGATTGTGTACAGACCATGCTATGACTTAAAAGTATTTTACTTGCACAAAAAACTGTAAAATCCTCTAACAGCCATATTTCGCAGAACGAAAGCATGGTGAAAGATTAAAAAAAATTAACATTTTAACTAATTATGTTTATTACGATTTTCATCCTCCTTTGACAGTCTATTAATTTACTTTATCAATCGGAGGTTGTTTTAGAGCATCTCATAGCCTGGGATTTTTTATGTTCAATTTTGTACAGCAAATGCAAGTTTTAAAGCATTATTAAATACCTCTTATTGAATTCTAGAATTTCCTAGGCTTATGTTTTTAAAGCTGTCCAAGACATTTTAGTGTTGAAGGTTTAAATACTTAGAGGCTACCTAACAGTAAAACTCCTTAAGTTTCGTGTTTTGGTATTTTCTAAAAACCACTAGACTTTTTAAAATCAAGGATTAGACAAATAGAGGACACCTAAATGTTACAACTCTATAGGCACACTTTTAAGGGCTCTTCAAAGCCATTGGATGTTTCTGTGTTCAAAAATTAATCGAGTAAAGGTTAGCTAAATTCCACAACACTTTGGGTTTTTAGAGTGCTTTAAAACCATTTTTTGGATATTTTGGTTGAACTTCTTAGAATTTGGCATATGCTTTCAAGAGTTTCTCTGAAAAACTTCACATGTCTTCAATGTCTTCTTCATTCCAGGTTTCGACAAGTACAAGGGAGGTTTGGACACCGTGCATGACCTGACGGGTCTCTACTCAGTCTACACCAACTGGCGAGGAATAGAAATCATGTTCCACGTCTCCACACAGTTGCCTTACGAGAGCCACGATCCTCAAAAGGTAAGAAAAATGTGCCACCACCCATGAGCAAATTTATGGACCTTGGTTGAAAGTATCTTACATCTTGTATCTTAGATCTTGGCTACATTTAATCTCTGATACATCTCGGATTTAGTTATCACTATTATCATTATGATTTGAGATATGGGACACCCCAAGACTGATAAGATTCAATTGTTTGCTGGGGATCCATTATCGTGGAGGAATTGATTGGCAGACTACAGGCATTGATCAGATGCTTGAATTTGTAGGGTTTATCAATAAAACAACTTCTTGGTTGCCCAATAATTCAACTATTCGTATGAAGTGCTTTATGGCTTAGGCCCCCTGTAAGATAAGAGGGGATTCAATGGGTGTTAATCAAACAAAATATGGGGTTTTTTTATGATTAAAACCTTAAAATAGTTTTTCAACTGATTATTTAACTCTGACAAACCCCCAATTTTTATGAGTATTTCTAACTGTGCTAACAAAACATCAGATAGTATCAAGCAAAACTTGGTTTGTAGGGAAGCATTCAATTAAATTACTTTATGTAGACTTAAGACTAAATACACTGTAGACTTTGAAACTTAACCCAAGACAAATAACAGTCGACTTATCCTCATAACTGATCCTGGTACAAGAAACTAGAACGCCTATCAATAAGATCTAAATCCCTCATTAATCTTGTATAATGTCTATCGGATGATTCCAGGCACTAGCAAAGCCACATGATCCTTATTAGCTGATATTTGCTAAGCTCCTCATTCGATTCAACCTGATTCAGACTGTATGCATGCAATAATATTAATCTACCAATATTAGTGTAGTACATCCTGATAGCAAAATTAAAACAAACTATTAAATAACTAAAATACTTATATCACCTCTCGATTTTAATTCTACATTTGTTGAATTTAAATTTGGTACTCAAAATGTTTGAAACTTCCAGTAATTGTATGTTTATTCGCTATTATATTGTTTATTTACCTAGTAAAATATTTTTTCACCAAATTTTTTGAAGTTAGGTAATAGTTAATTGTTTGTTTGATTTCCATACCGTCTCTTGTAGAAGGCTTTTCCATTTGTTTTTATGGATAGTTAATTAACCTTTCGACATAAATAAAATTAAAAGAAATTCTTTTATTAAACTCTTCTTTTATGAGCATTTTCCCTTAAAAAAGTAGGTTTTGAGTCTCTTAGGGATTACAGATAAAAAACAAACAACTACCACAACAGCCAAATCTTTTTGTCTAAGGTACCCCACTTAATGTGTACATCCAATTCAAATCCACTTTCATTATTTACTATACCTACTCATCAGTAATCAAACATATTTCCAACCATCCATAGGGAGTCCTTCAAATCTGAATTACAATTTTACAAACAACCTGAAGATGAAAAGAGGGAGGAAAGTTTTAATAAACATTAGGAGGGCAGCTTTCTTTCGAGTAACAAAAGAACGTTGGCTTCATGGGAATGATCAATACTGTATACATCATTGTGCAGTCGGAACTATTGTTGGCTGAGTGAGAGCAGCCCCTAGTGAAAAAGATTTTCTGGTCCAGGTTCTGGCCAGTACTGTCACAGAACTGACCAGTTCTGCCACAGTACTGACAAGTACTGGCCAGGTTCTGGGCGAGACTGGCCAGGTTCTGGGCGATACTGGCCAGGTTCTGGACGATACTGGCCAGGTTCTGGGCGATACTGGCCAGGTTCTGGAATGATACTGGACAGGTTCTGGAGGGTACTGGGCTGATACTGGCCAGGTTCTGGAGGGTACTGGGCTGATACTGGCCAGGTTCTGGAGGGTACTGGGCTGATACTGGCCAGGTTCTGGCGAGTACTGGGCTGATACTGGCCAGGTTCTGGCGAGTACTGGGCTGATATTGAAGTTTGTATCTTTATTTTAATGGGTCTGGTTTTACTTGATAGTTTTAGTGACTTATGCCCAGTACATTTTTGTATTATATGGCAATAAAACTATATTCTGATTCTGATACTGGCCAGGTTTTTGCTGGTACTGGATGATACTGGCAGTGTTCTTGGCTGATAATGGCCTCTGGTCCAGAATTCATACTCAATTATATGTGTTTGTTGTTTTTTTACAAGTTATTCACTTTGGTAAATTGGAGATTACTGATAACGATTAATTTATACATAATAATGAGCAAATCTGTACAGAGCTACAGACCACAAGTGTTGTCCGATTGTGATGAAATTCAGCAAGTAATAAGTACCAAACCATGGGTTTTCAAAGTTTTAACTTTTTTGAAATTTTGTTTTTTAATGGTGATTTTTCCATAAAAACCCATGAAATAATAGCAAAATCTTGTTTAAAAAAATTTGCCAAAAATTTTTTATAAATAACAAGTATGTTAGAGCCCTTTAAATTCTGAAAAAAATTTTACAACGCCTATTACTGTAAAATTACGGTTTAAAAGCTACTGTAACTTAGCCTATATGTTATTTTATATATAATAGAGGAAACTGTGTTTTTTTAACCTATATTGATCAAAATTAGTATATTTTGGTCTTTATAATTTAAATTTAAATGGTGCAATCTCTCAGTGTTGTGAAAATTAGGGTTTATATTTTTTGCAACTTTTGTGATTTTTTCCTGTAAAATATTAAAGTTACTACAGTACTACCACATACCCATACATAGGACAAGTATGTGTCCTAGAATAATTATCTCTACAACCAAAATAAAAGATTGATTAAAATAACTACTGTATTGTTTTGAAAAATTGAGCAAGATTAAAATTTAAAAGAATTTTCGCGCCAGACTGAGAGCTAATGACAGGGTCCAGTGCAGTCCGTGGCAGAGGAGGGGAGGGGACTGATTTTTCTGTTCCAACTCCAACTGTCAAAAGATCGGCGTCGCCATCTTTGCTTGGCTTTTGTAGTTGTTTGCCTAACCTCTTGACTTTGCAAAAGTATAACTTAGTCCTTTCAATTTAAAATTAAAATGTAATAGTGTATAATCGTATCCATATTATATTAGTAGCCTAAGATTTTTGTTGTTAGGTAGTTTACCTTCAGTTTTTTAGTTTTCTTTCACCAAAGAATATCGTTATTGAAGAGGCTGTCTCCCAAACCAAGGTAAGGAATTCAAAATAACATTAGGCCTACTTTAGTTAATAAGTTTTAATGTGAGTTACACATCAAAAATTAGGTTCGATAAAAATTCTGCAACATCTAGTCTTTCTTTAAACTGATTAAAGTTAGGTTAAGTTATAAACCGCTAGTTAAGTTAAGTTACTTATAGAAAACTAACCTAAATGAGTTAGCCAGGCTTTGGCTTACAGTTATAAGTTTTTAGACTACCTAACAAATTTGCATTGGATTTAATCTTAGTACATTTGTTAGTAGGACTATAGCCTTGATGGGGCTTTCTTTGAAAGTTTGGTTTTTACTTGAACGGAGTCCTAACGTTTTACTGCATATCCTAATGCGATATCACTTTTTAACCTTACTTAGGTGAATCATTGGCCACAGTTTCAAATCTGCAACTTTTAATAACCTATATAGGAATATACCTAACTTAGCCTACTACAATCATTTTCTTAAACCTATGCAGTCAGCCTTAGTCAAAGCCTAGATTAAAAGTTAGGTTACAAGTTAAATATCTTAAATTCAATTGTTAGGCCCTACACCTAAATAATTCTTACACCCTTAAAGGATAGTTGATTTCATAAAATAAATTCCTTAGGCATAAGTTAAAAATATGCTACCGGTACAACTGCTAGGTAGGGTAGGATGAAAATAAAATCGAGCCAAGCGCAGTAAATTAAACTTAGGCTAGGGAGCATTAGCTAACCAAAAATAACTTCCAACAAACCGAAAATGTACTCCTATCTAACGTATTTGTTTGACCAATTTCTAGAATAGGCCTAACTTAATTTGTTATTTACTGTCACACTATGGATGAGGCCTATTTTATGTTATAATTAAGTTATTGGTAACATTTCTCGACTGATAACTTACCAATAATTTATTCATACGGTATTGATAGTGACAGCCAGTTTGTTCTAATTTACCTGAACTTTGCGACATTTTACATATCCTAGGTTAAGTTAAGTAGGCTATAAGTAAATATAAGTTAAGTTCTAGCTAACCAATTTGTGTCAAAATCTGTTATGTTTCTTAAGCGGTATGGATTTTTCTAGGCCTGTTTACTTCTTAACTGAAAGTAAGTTAGGCTAGAACAAATTTTATGTTGTTAATAAATGTATGTAGCCTACATAGCTTGGTTATTGTATCCATACTTTTGAAATTTGTGATAATTGAATGGGAATCGGCTGCGGCACATTTTATGTGCGTGGGTTATGCTTGTCGAAGCACCTTATTGCACCATGCCGAGTTTTGTGAACTGTACCCTATTTAAGCATGAGTAGATCTGGGAAAACTTTATTATGGTTGATTTTTAGGCCCTTTTACAGCATTGAGAAATATATTAAGCTGATTTTGATTCAATCAAATTTATTTATTCCCAACGGCAAATCACCGTTACATGAGATTGCAAAAAAATAAAGTTAAAAAAGTGTGCATGAAGTTCTTGTCAAAGGTTTAATTTCTTTTTGTCTGTCTTCCCCATTTAAAGTTTTGAATCTAGAAACTCGCTGATGGAACCTTTTCAAGCTGAAACCTTTTTCAAAGTTTTGGTGGTTTTGAGATTAGATTTTGACACGTTACTAGTGCTACATAGCCTACTTACTATTAATAATAGCAAACTTCTTGTTATTTCTTACAGAAGCTGTTTTTCAACCAGTTTCCAGAGGCCAAAGAAAAAGAAACATCGAGACGGTGATAAAAGATTGGCTAAGACCGTCATGAAATTGAATTGTTAGCAAGTAGGAAGGAAGGTAATTTGATACCTAATGATTGATTAATAGATGATGTCAGTCACCATCAAAGCAAAATGTAAAAACTTAGCCTAATGTTTCATTTGCCTTACAGAGTTGATGCTTGATTTATTTGCACATAGCCTATCTCTCTAAGATATCAAAACTAGCCTAATAGGTAGGCCTATAGACAAACAAATTAAAACCAAAACTTTTTTTATTGGAAACTGCAACATTTTCTCAACCAAAGCAAAATGATATGTTTAAGGAGTTAATGGCAAAAAAGGGCTCAGTAAATTGAAAGAAGCCAGGTGTTCTGATTCTGCTTTAGAATAAGAAATCTGTTCATGAGTCATCTCTTAAAAATTTACATCCAACACCAGTTAAATATATTCAATGTTAATAATATAATGTTACTTTTTTTCAGGAGAGAAACGACTGAGGAGGGAGAAACGACTGAGGAGGACGAAGACTGCATCCCATAAATGGCTCATGGACTCAATCTTTAGATAATCTTTATGTCTTTAAAATTCATTATTATTTATAAGTGCAAAGATCTAATGTAATATTTTTAAATACATACATGTTGGAGTATAATGCTGAATATTGATTAAGGCCTACACATTTGCTAATGAGGTAATTTTTCAAATACCTATGGATAAACATTAACAAAATTAAATATTTTGTAATGGATGATCAATTTAACAGCAGTATTACCTTGCTGACTAAAATAGAAGAAAATTCACAAATAATAATTCTTTTACCAACAAAGGAGCTAGTAGACCTAATAATCCTGTGTTAAATTGTGCATTGTCTTTTGATTTTGTCACTAAGGTAGGCCTAAGATTTATAGGCCTGCATAAAAAAAACGATAAAATGCTGGCATAAAGCCATCTTTACAAACAGTTTCAATAGAAATTAGTTAATTTAACAATCAATATTGTTATATTTTAAAAAGTTAATTAACCTCAATTAAAAATTGTGTATCAATCCGTAAAATTGTCTGATATTAGGTATGATTGAGATTCATGTTAATATTAGACATGTAATATTAGATACATTCATGGTAATATTAGATATGTATTTGGTTATTTTCATTTTGTTTGACGGTTTGAATAGCACGGAAATAACAAAAAAGTTTTTTTTTATTAGGTATAACAGTGTCTATTGTAATTGAGTACCTAATCTTACATAAACTGCAGAATTATAGGGTCCTCAACCATTTCAGTAAGAAGTAATCATGCTCATCAATAACCATGGTTTAGGCCTATATAAAATTAATGAGTCTTGCCATTCATTTCAGTAAGTAGAAAAGAGTGGAAATTGTGATAAGATAATGGCAGTATTTGTCTGATTGGAAAGTGTAAGTCAAGAGTGTGACCCTTTACAATCATTTTCTACAAAAGAGTTATATAAAGCCTGTGTCACACTAAATGGAAATAACAAACAATCGTCATGTACCAATAATGTAAAAATATCAGCATACAAATTTAATTTTTTGGAAAACCCGTCGATAAATTCCTTTCCCTCATGTAAAAAGGTAAATATTTTTAGCGAGTTATTCACGTAAAATACAAAAAACTATGGATACAAAAACGTTACTGTATTTTAATTTGAGATAATGTGAAAGACGTGATAAAATACTAACACAATTATGTTTTTTCACATCGTTCTCATGTAAAAGTGGGTCGTCTTCGCAAGCACAAACAACCAATACATTCTGGAACAGTAGGCCTACTGGCCAGGTTCTGAACCAGTACTGGCCAGGTTCTGAACCAGTACTGGCCAGGTTCTGGAACAGTACTGGCCAGGTTCTGAACCAGTACTGGCCAGGTTCTGGACCAGTACTGGCCAGGTTCTGGAACAGTTACTGACCAGGTTCTGGGCCAGTACTGGCCAGGTTCTGGAACAGTACTGGCCAGGTTCTGGAACAGTTACTGGCCAGTACTGGCCAGGTTCTGGAACAGTACTGACCAGGTTCTGAACCAGTACTGGCCAGGTTCTGGAACAGTACTGGCCAGGTTCTGGAACAGTACTGGCCAGGTTCTGGAACAGTACTGGCCAGGTTCTGGAACAGTACTGGCCAGGTTCTGGAACAGTACTGGCCAGGTTCTGGAACAGTACTGGCCAGGTTCTGGAACAGTACTGGCCAGGTTCTGGAACAGTACTGGCCAGGTTCTGGTTCTGGCCCAGGTTCCTGCCAATTCTGGAACCTGGGCCAGAACCTGGCCAGTAACTGGATTTTTTTCACTAGGGGCTTTTGTATATCGGAATGCTCTTTGTTTTACCTTTAATTGCTCCTTTGTCAGCTTCAATTTGTTGAGAAAGGAAATAATGGTCTTATTCCTTGGAGCGCCTTTTAATGGCCTCTTCGTCATTTCGATAATGTATTTTTACTTGACATTTCCACTTCCAGGTACCAATTTATTTTGTTATTATTCAATATTCTCTCAGTAAGTGGATTAGAGCAATTTATTTTAAGGGTTTATTCGGGTGTGTGTTTTATTATTATTATTATACATTTATTTATTCACTAATGTGTTGTTTGTTTGCTTGAATTTTATCCTCATAAACAATTTGATACTTTTCATTAAGGAGGAGTTCACCTTTTTTGGATTAAAACTGAAAATGCTATCTTTCTTTCAAATATACAGTTAAGGTAATGATTAAAAAGAGTACTACGAACATCAATGTTTTTCTAGCTCGAAAGATTGAATATTCAAAATTGTGAGTTATCTGGTAAGAAGTGTTGAAAGTATTTTTGATACCAGTTGAGGAGACATGGCTCGTAAAGTGTGTGTTTTATTCATTATTTCATTTACCAAATATAAAGGGAATCCGTTAAACAAAGTTTCTATTACCTTACATATATTGGTTAGAACTGCAAACCTATGTTTAATTTGTTTAATAATATTTTCAAAAGCTTTGTAGGGATTAGGTTTTTTATAAAGGTTCACATTATGTGTGATATTTTACTTCAAACTAAGATGCCCTCCAAAACCACTATCATATAAGTCAAAATAAGAAGAATAAGTTAGCTATCAAATTAAGTGCCAAATATTACGCTAAGCCTATACATACAGCCTTTATTGAGAAAATGCCCCCACACTGTCATAGATAAAATTATCAAACTTGTGATTTTTATTAAAACTACTGTCTCAATAGCTCCAAGTTTACAAAAGACACTTTTACTATGTAATTCACCTTCAATTTTTATGGATAGTTTCTTGTAACATGGCTCTGTTTGCAGCTTCAAAGGAAGCGACACATCGGCAACGACATTGTATGTGTCGTGTTCCTAGAAGCGGACAATACGTCGTTCTCACCCGCCTGTATCAAGTCTCACTTCCTTCACACATTCATACTCGTAAGGACCAGCCCAAGGATCAAACGGAAACCCACCAGATATGAGGTGAACAACATACCATCTACTACTCTTGAAACCTTACCATCCAATGTAAAAGTGCATCCTCCAATAGTCTCTTTATCTGTAGAAACAAAAAATACCCCGATGTATTGCATAGTAAACAGCTAGATAGCTGAATAAAAATAAAGGACTGATCAAAAGATAATAAATTCAATCCTGAGAAAACTTAAATAGTTTTGATTATTTTAAACTTGACTCAGCTGTTCTTGATTATTGGACTATTAATGAATCAACATGGCTAAAAAACCAGCTGATCTTAGGCAGTAATAAAACTGCAATCTAAGTCATCCTTCACTCATATTCGCTGTAGTAGTATATTTTGTTACTAGTCCTAAAAATAGGTGATTACCAAACGAGTGTGGTTGTTCCCGTGTGATACGAAGGTGACTAAGGGATTACCTTACGAGTCCGGTAAACACATTTTGGAAGAGTGAAATACGATATTTTACCCAACCCGCCATGTTAAACCTCCCTACTCCAAGCGTGATGTATACAACTTCTTTACTTCTCGAGTGATGTAAAGTTGAAAAAACTCACTCGGTGAGGTAATGAAACCCATTTAAATAACATTGAGTGCTTAACTTAAAAATATACCTCTATGGAGCCAACGACGTTCAACGCTAGAAATCAGCTGTGCGCTTGAATTTTATTTTTATGTTTTGAAGAATTTTCCTAACCCAGCTTTTGTTTGTAAATGAACGTTACTGTTAGAAGATAAGTGAAATGAATAATGAAAAATATTGTTCGTAACCTCCTGTATATTGTCGGGTTAGGTAAAATCTTGTACGTTACACGTTACGCAAGAGCGTGTTTACATAATTTAGGTAAATTATGCAACGAGCTGCAACATTCACCTGCCTGATGTAAAAACGCTCTTACTACACTTGTGAGGTAAAAATAGCTATTAAGCCATTCTACTTTAAGATAACTTAACAATTAAAAATCTGTACAGACCATGGATTAAAGAACTAACAATCACTACTCATAAGAGAGGTTATGTTTTTTTATAACCACTCATTGCCAAATATAATCAGCTGGTTGATGTCCGGTAAAACCTCATTACAGTACTTTTAGTATATAATGAAATCCCATTTGATAAAGCTAGCAACAAACAGCTGTTTTCTGGACTAAATCCTTGCGTGGGAGGTTCGTTAAAACAGTGTAGTGTGGCGTAAAACCACCTTAATTAAAATAGAGTTGTATAGATCCAAGCAAACTGATACAGGTCTATATAACTTACATTTTTGGGAGGATTTTTATTTTTATTTTAAAGCCACGCTAACTGATCCCAGGTGTCGGTGGTGACTCGGGACGAGGTCGGGGCCTACAAGCCCTACCTGTGGGAACAGTCGGTGTTTGACAAGGGTCCAATGTTCCGGGAATGGCTGCTCACCAAGATAGTGAACGGAGAGCGAGCGAGCTACTCAGCACCCAAGTTTGCCAGGATGCAGGAGCGAACCAGGTCACAAATGCTGGAGGACATTGTAGCCAACCTTGCCAACCACGCAGAGACTGGGCAGATACCAAAACCTTACAGGTAACTTTGTTGTCTATTAGATCAGTACAGATCATGTATCGTAGCTGAGTGATTATAGTCCTCGCCTAACTAAAGGTTGCCGGATCAAACCTGAGAAGTCAGATACTTTTAGTGGTTTAAAGGCCTGCAGACACCGGAGCGGTGACAGCAGTCTACAGTAATTTTTCGTCGTCATTTTGAGTGTGCAGTCAACAAGTGCAGTGTGTTGTTAGTTATAAATATTTAATCATAAATATACTACTTACTTTGTGACAGTAGTAGTTAATATGTTTATAACATATGGTAATTGTTCTACATATGTTTTTGTGTTATTGTTTTTATATTTTGATTGAGTTTTTGTTAAATTAGAAATAAACAACCTTTCTTAAGTTCAGTACAATTATTTAATAATTAATCTAATGACATGGTGCCGAAACCCACACGGAATAGAAATAAGAGGTATGACTTTAAGGAAGATGATGATATCCATACAAACCATACAGAAGACAAAGATAATAATGTAAAACCACCAAAATGTCTTGTGGTTTCAAGTACTCAGATGGCTCCTTCTTGGAAGAAATGGAAGCAACAGTGGAACTGGTACTACACAGCTTCTGGCCTTGATAGGAAATCAAATGCAGTACAGGTAGCATCATTTATGTCTAGTTTAGGCCCAGATGTTATAGATATATATAACAGTTTTGGTTTCATGGATGATGAAGATATTGAATTAGATGAAGTTGTTCAACGATTTGATAAATTTTTTGTTGGTGAATCTAATGAAGTATTTGAGAGATTTTTGTTCAACAAAATTACACAAGAAACCCATAAGTGTTTTGAAGATTTTTTTACAAAATTGGTTAACCAAGCTAATTCTTGTAATTTTGAGCAACTAAAAAACAGTTTGATAAGAGATAGAATAGTTATTGGCATATCAGATTCTAGCTTAAGGGAAAAGCTACTTTCTACTGATAAGCTTACCCTAGATTATGCAATTAGTAAGTGTAGGGCACATGAACAAGCTAAGAAACAACTAGCAGAAATATCCTCTGACAGCCCTACTAGTCCCCAGTTAATGTCGTTAAAAGGGACGATTCCTTTTCTAGGCCTTTGTTACAAAATTCAGTCTTTGACTGTAAACGTTGTGGTTTACAACACTCTAGAGGCCAATGTCCAGCTTTTAATCGAACTTGCAATCAATGCTTGACTAAAGGTCATTTTGCTAAGATGTGTAAAACTCAAAAGAATCTCCCTAGTAAGAGTAAAAATACTGATGTTTTAGAGGTTGTAGAGAATGAAGATTCTGATTATCCGTTGCATGTTGATTGCATCTCTAACCCAGTCAAGAATCAAGATTGGACAGAATTATTAGAATTGCCAAATAACAAAACTGTGCAGTTTAAATTAGATACTGGGGCTCAGTGCAATGTTATTTCCCATGATTTGGCACTAGCTTGTAATCTGAACATTGTACCTTCTGCAACTAAATGCCTTGTTTCTTTTAACAACCAAAAAACGCCAGTTTTGGGTGAAGCCATTTGTCCAGTTGTAACCAAAAAGTCTCATAAAGACACTTGTTTGTAATAGTTCCAAATGGGCATCAATCAATATTAGGAAGAGTATCATGTGAAACCCTAGGGTTAGTAAAACGGATTGCTGGTATAATTGATCAGTCTATAAGTGGATTATATGATGGAATAGGGTGTTTAAAGTCATTTGAGTATGATATTGATCTTGTGGAAAATCCTAGTTTCAAAATACACCCACCCAGGCGAATACCCCATCCAATACGTGACGCAGTGAAAGCAGAACTAGACCAAATGGTAAAAGACAAGATTATTACTCCGGTAAGTGAGCCTACTCCTTGTGTGTCTCCTATGGTCATAGTCCAACAAAGAGACAAAATACGTCTATGCATTGACCCAACTGATCTTAACTTCTTCATCACCGTAACACACCAAGAGGTAACCTAGTTTCCCCAGTTCAGCGGCTGATGAGTATCAAGAATCAAGAATCAAGAATTTTATTGTCGTTAAGCACATGGCAATAGACAAAGTCAAATACAGTATTATAAGACATCAAAAATGTGCAATATGGACAAATATAAAATAATAAATCAAAACAGACATATAGATATAGACACTGAAAAAACAGCTACAAGTACAAAATCACTATCTAATTAAGTTAAAATCTTAATGTACTAATATCACAGGCCAAAAATTCGTTAACAGAATAAAAAACATTTTCTTTTAACCACTTTGACAGAGTTATTTTGAATCTGCTTAGGTTCACAGTCCAGGCTTCTTTTGGCAGCTTGTTAAAAAGCTTGACTTTCATAAACAAATGGCTTTTTTTAGATTTTTCTAGTTTTATAGATATGCAATCAAGTAAATAGTTCCGTCTAGTATTATATTTGTGAAATTCACTTCTAAAACTATAGCTATTTAAGTTTTCCTTAACACTAACTAAGCTAAAATATACATACAAACACGGAAGAGTCATTATTGGAAACTCTTTAAAATGTGGAACACATGACTCTCCGTCAGGAATGTTTGCCATTATCCTAATTGCTTTTTTTTGCCATATAAATGCTTTTTCAGAATCTGAGCTATTACCCCAAAGTGTTATTCCATACATTAAATGGGAATTAAAAAAAGCATAGTAAGCTGTAACTAACATTGAGGAACTAACACAATTTTTTAATTTTCTAAGTAAACAAGTAACTCTAGATAGTTTTCTACACAGCTGATTTATTTGATATTTCCAGTCAAGTCTGCTATCTAGGTATAATAGCTGGGTACCGAGCTTTGCTGGGAGAAAATCATAGGTATACTCTGAGAGCAGCCTTTACTCTGAGATAATGAGTAGGAGGACAAAGACTCCTCTTCCATCTACGACCAACCACCTTATTCCGATGGTCATAAAGAATGTTTCAAAACAGCTAGAAAAAATTAAAAGGCGAGAGAAGCTATACGGTGATATGAGGAAGACAGAGCCTGATCAGTTTAAACTCGATGAACCAGTGCTTTTCAGATTCAAACCAAAGTGTTGGCTGAGAGCAAAGATTGTTCAAGTTGGTCCTGAACCACGATCGTACAAAATCCAGACTGGTGATGGACGAGAATACCGAAGAAACTCATGGTTCCTAGAAGAGACAAGTCATTCAGAATCTCCCATGATGTGAATAAAGGTCAATCGTCCAGGTCAGAACAACATAGCAATGACTCAGCTCCTGTTGTAAGACGAGGGGAAAGGATTAGAAGAACACCAAATAAATTTGACTTGTGAAGGAGGGATGACAGTAGTAGTTAATATGTTTATAACATATGGTAATTGTTCTACATATGTTTTTGTGTTATTGTTTTTATATTTTGATTGAGTTTTTGTTAAATTAGAAATAAAAAACCTTTCTTAAGTTCAGTACAATTATTTAATAATTAATCTAATGACACTTTGTTCATTAAGCTCTTTCACAAAGATTTCCCACATCCTATCATTTGTTTTGTTGTTCTTCTTGTACTCGCAGTGATCTAGTTGGTAATGCATTGGTTACAAATAGGCATTTTCTATCAGGAGCTCAGTTGCCATGTTGGTTGCTTGGAGTCCTAGACACAAAATGACTCTCGCACCGGCACCGCTGTCACTGCTGGGCGGTGAAATGGAACATGCTGCATCTCGGCGGTGCGGTGGTACGAGGGGTTATACCGCTACCGCTCGCACCTCTCCCGTGGGTCCTCTTGCATTTACTTCCATTGTACTAAATCACCACTCGAATATCGCACCGCCGTACCGCTCCGGTGTGTGCATCCCTTAAAACTGAACCGAGCTGTCCTTTGTTGGGCTTTTTTGGCCCCAGCAAAAAAAAACCATTGGTTTTTGTCATTAAGCTACATCATTTCACACAATTTTACACTCATCATAATTTATATTTGAGTTCAATTATGATCAATTAAAATATAAATAGATAAGAGTTTGGAACTGTTATTTCTTATAGAGTAAGGGTTCCAAAACCACTGATATAGCTACACTGATATAGCTACACTATCATCTTACACCATTTTACATTCATAATCATTTATATTTGAATTCAAATGATATCGATTGAAATACAAATAGATAGAGTTTGGAACTGTTTTTGGTGTAGAGTAAGGGTTTTAAATCCACTGATCGATATAGCATACCAGTCTTCATGATAAATACATACAAACTTTATTACTCAAAGCAGTAAGAAATATGTACCCACACCTAGTAGTGTAATATACTGTGACTGTGTGCTGTAATACAAAATGCACTGTATTACATATTGCAATGTACAGTAGTACCACAGACAATAATAATTTGTCTTTGGTAGTACCGTACTCAGAACCATAGATAAAACATGCTCACTAGACCGATGGTGTTTGGTGTTCATAGTACATTGTTATACTTTGGGCTCTACAATATAAAGTGCTTTACAATTTGTAGAGCACTTTTAATAAATTGATACAGTAATTTATTTATTTATTTGAATACATGGCATACACCATTTTACATTTGAATTTCATAAGAATAGATTGACAAAACAGAACAAAGATTTTTAATAGTGATGCAATGAGAAGTGTTGTTTATAGAAAATTTTAGTGTGTGGTGCAAATAAACCTGTATTTTAGAGATATCTTTTTGAAATGAGTCTCAAGAAACATATTGAAAAATAATTAAAACTAGAAAAGGAATTTCCCTTCGGTACTTAAAATTTGAACATGTGAATAGTGATATTTTTTAAATTTAGAAATGACCTTAGTCTCCAGTTTTAATTGAACTATAAAACTGTATATTTACATGTAAACCAGTATGTATTTTCGAAAGAATTATCTTAACTGCCTCCCCTGAAATTTATGTTCCAGATAAGTTATATATAGCTAAACTAAGTTTACGTTTAATGTTAAAAAGTTAAGTAACTAAATAATTAACTGGCATCCTATTAGATGTATTATGATTTCTTTCTGTGAATTTAACAAAACATACAAATCTGATCATGAAGC